ACATATTCTACATGTACATTCAATGGTCAGAAATATTGATGAAATCATCCTTTAACAGACTTTAACATTTTCCTTATTTATACATCATAAAATCTTATACTCCCTCATATTTTTTTAAATATCATTCTAACTTTATCAACCATTTGCCAAATAAATATCCTTTTGGAGATTTTGTACATATTTTTTCATTATTACCCTTATTTTACTTAATAAATACATTACGTCTTTTCATATTCACTATTCATTTTTTCTCAAAACATTAATCTCTATCTTCATTAAATAAGGTTATTTATTATTGACAAAAAAATATTCTTAATTAATGTGCAACTTCTCAAAACGACATATATTAAAAATAGGAGGTAATATAAAATAACAGTAAAAATGATAACTTGTCCAAATAGACCCCGTTTGGAAGATAAAAGATTGAAGATAAATTAACGAATTGGACTTAATTGAGAGATTTTGACCCGTCAAATCCGCTAATCGATATTGAGCCTGTTTGGTAAATAACTTACTTGATAAGCTTCTTAGACACAGAACTCTAATTTAAAAAAAGCTCGTTAGAGCAGTTTTTTGGGATAGAAAATTCACAAAAATTATTTACTTAGAATTTTTTAATTTGTATTTTTTTTATACAATTTACATTGATTTATTGTGCTAATAAATAATAATATGTCATCCATATAATTAATTTTACTAGAAAAATGTAAAATTCATAACTTTTTCATCAAGTGTTAGTAAAATAAAATAATATATATATATATATATTTATAAATTACCAATTAAAGAATATTAAATGTTTTAATATATTATTATTAAAAGAATACACCTTAAATAATAAAATGTGCTTATTTATCATTTTACAATGTCAAACAACTATAAACTTTCAACTATTTACCAAACACTTATTTATAAACCGCTAATACAATTCCTTGGTCAAATCAGCTAATATAATTCGCTATCCGCTGATCGCCAAACAAAGCCTATAAATATATTAGTTTAAAAATTTTGTTATATACGATAAGTTTCATTTAAAAAATTTACAAAAAAAATTACGAAAATGTTATTAAAATATTCATAAAGCACAAATTTAATTAGGAAGAAAGCACGTTCAAGGAAATGTTTCCAAAAAAAAAATAAATTAAAGAACACCAATCTTTTTCAAGATATGAGAAAGAAACAAGGGCAGAGGCTCAGATCTGAAACAGGCCGAGACAGTCACACCGCCATGGCTGCAAAACCCATCCGAATCGGGGCATGCCCCGCCAAGATACGGGTCGGATCAGTCTCGACGCCCGACCCAACTCATACAGATTCATCATCATCATCACAGCCTCCCCAAATCAAACGACGGTTAATTATTCTACGCGCGCAATATACTGAAGTTTTACTGTGATAACTGGAAAAAGACCAGTATTGTACTGTACTCTCTGTACTCAGATATATATATATACACACACACACACACATTCAAAGGGCTGTTTGTTTTTTCACATTTTTATTAATATATTGATTGAAAATCATTGGCAAGAAGCAAAGAGGGCAACAACCCTTTGGAAAATTCCAGAGACTCTTTGCTGCCTCATTTCCGAGTTGGGATTTGTGATTAGAAGCCAACGTCACAGCAATTATATATTAGGCTGTGGGGTTACAAATTGAAAGCGCGTTTTGCTAAATTAGCACTTTTTAAGTGAGTGAAAGTAAATTGACTAGCTCTATAAATTTTGGACTAAATAGATGGTTCAATAAAATTAAAATTATTTAACGATCGAAAACCTCCTAACCTTTTTAAAATATTTATTTTTCTATACACTTACATATTTATTTTAATGCCCATTTGGAGGTTCATGTGAAATGCCTTTAACTCTGGTTGAGTAATATAACTCGATCCAAAAGTGAAATTCTTCTTTGGGCTATTTCCTTCAACTTGCCATTAAGATCGAGCACCGAATGACCCTTGAGGTCGAAAACTGAGTGACCCGCCACTAGGGTCGAACACCGAAATTTAAATGACCACTGAAATAACCTCCAAATGAGCATCGAGAGAACGCACTGAAGTCGAAACTCGAATGACCTTCCACTAAGTTAAAAAACTGAAGGACCTGCGATTAAGATCGAAAAACCAAAGGACCACAAAGGTCGAAAATCGAGTGACCGTCAATGAAGTTTAAAACCGAATGATCTGACGTCGGGGCCGAAAACTGAAAGACCTGTCAATGAAGATGAGAACCTAATGGTCTGCCACTGAGGTTGAACACCGAAAGTCGAATGACCACTGAGGTCGAAAACCGAATGATCCGTCGTTGAGGTCGAACATCGAATGACCCCTGAGGTCGAAGACCGAGTGACTCGCTACTGGGATCGAAAGCGAAAAACTGAATGACCACGGAGGTCGAAAATCGAATGACCACTGATGAGGTCGAAAACCGAATGATCTGACGTCAGAATCGAAAACTGAAAGACTTGTCAATTAAGATGAGAACCTAATGACCTGCCAATGAGGTTGAACATCGAAATTCGAATGGCCACTGAGGTCGAAGACCGAAACCGAATGACCACTGGGGTAAAAAAGCGAATGACCGCCGATGAGGTGAAAAACCGAAAGTGGTGATCACCATAAACACTACTGATCACAAACATTAGAGCTCGATCACCAACATATATTCAAATAAGAGACAAGTGGTGCTTATATTTATAGTCTTACTCAACTAAATCATCTTATGGACTTTCGTCTTTATTTTGATGAGTAGAATAGTGTACGATTTAATAAATTGAGGACAATAACCAAATGGTTACATGTATACTATTCAAGTAGGTCACCTATATTCACCTAACATTAAGTAGTAGATTGGTATCTACTCAATAATTCAATATCAATTGAATGAGCAATGGACTTTTACCTTATTTATATCACTTAACTAAGTTAATAAAAGAATTGAATAGCTAATACAATTTACAATTATATCAAAATTGGTTGCCATAAATATATTATATAGATAAAAATAATATTTCTCTCTGTATTAAAAGTCGATCTAGGCGGCGTCTAAGCGCCACGACTTTTTTCTAGACGGTTGTTCAAAGCGCTCCAACGACTGCATATATCAAAATGAAAAAGTTTGTGTCAACAAAATTAAGTAAATTAGGTTAAACCACAGTACCGGTGACTTGTTGGTATGGGTATTTTAAATATGGATTTTTTTTAAACTGCAGATTCATTAAGTAAAATATATAATTACAACATGTACTACGAAACTAAAAAANNNAAAAAAAAAAAAAAAAAAGTTCCACAAGTGAAAAACACACTAATTCAAAAGGGAGTAATACACTTTTCTAAAGAAGAGAAATCAAAACAACAACCCACAAAACACACAGGCAAACACAAGCACACGCAGACTAATACAAACACAAAACAAACCTAAGAACAATTAGAATATAATACTACTTGTGAGTAGTCACACATCGTTTATACAAGAATAATAAGCCTAAATTATAAGTCTATTGGACTACTTTTATTACCAATTGATTTTGGGATGAAACCTCACTTATGGTGCGCTTCACGTGCGTGGGACCGCACCTGTTACTCATCCCCCTCCCTCCCCCCATTTCTTACAAAAACATAACTGGTAAACTGAAATCCCTTCTCTACCGCCGACAACCAACACCGTGAGCCGTCACGCAACAAACAAACCGCCAAGAGCCATCGCCTCATGAACTGAGACCTAGTCCAGTGCATGGATTGCCATCACCTCATGGACTGAGACCTAGTCCAGAGCATGGATTGGAACTTTGTCGACAACAATGAAAATACTTACCTAGCTAGCCATCGTTAGCACATTAAAGTTTATCTTCCAGCTACATATCAAAATCTCGTGATCTTTAAACACATTAAAGAGCTGACAATAACAATATTTATTGAAAGAGCTTAACAATTTTGTGTCATGAACCGCCAAAAGTACGTTCAATTGGACCATATGCCTTTTAATATAGTGGGAGTACAAACACTAGATATAATGAAATGAAATTTGCAGCCCCTCAAGAATATGAGAAATAATAAAACCCTAGGTCTGCAAAAATAGTACATCAATAGAGATGAGCTGCCATGCTTTCCTCTGATATGTATGCGCCAAAAACTGTTACTGTTAGTCTTCAATGTGTACAAACCCTAGCTGTTAGCTTGGGCCAATGTCCTTATTCAGTTGAAAAGCAAAAGATAAGGCCAAATGACATTAAGCCGGTTGCACGCTAATCACATGTTTGCGATAAACCCTAGCTAGATATGTGCGTTTTTTCTTGATCGTTGAAAATGCATGTATGCATATGATAGTTATTAAGTAAAAGATTTGTTGTTCCATATGATGAAATCAAGTGAAATACATATAGATAGTTATTAAGTCGCACGATAAGATCGCCGAAGAATCTAAAAGTACATTTTCGACAGTGTAATTCTAGGTTTTTTTGTGGCTAATTTTTCCAAGACAATTAACCAAAGGCTAATTTTTCTATCTGACATGTTCGAATAAGATTGTTATTTATTGGGGTTGAATAATTTTTAGAGATACTTAAACTTATGTTAAGCTTTTGTTTTCCATTTAATTTTCTGTTACATACCACTACACTAATAAGCCCTTGATTTAGTGGTTTTCAGTATTATTTGGCTATATCAAACTCAAAATATTGTCAATGGCAATTAAGTCAGTTATTTTGCAGTCCAGTAAGTTGTGTTCTTGTACATAAATATTTCATTTCCCTACATAAATATTAGGGCGCTAGGCCAACAGGAATCCTCCGCACGGCATCTCGGTTTTTCTTCTTCTGCATGTGGTCATCAAACCTAAAACTAGACGAAGGACACTCACGTACGCGTTTGGTTAATAACACATGCAAAATATGAACTCAGAATATAGTTGATCAACTCTTTTCGGCTATAAATACCACAACACAATCGTGCTGAAGAGGCATCTAAAAAAAAACTTAAGTAATTAATCAGCTAGTAATAAGATATGGTTTCTTTGAACGAGTGGCGAGTTTTCTCGAGTGTAGTATTAATAGTTATCTGTTTGAGCTTTGCGTGTGGTGCCGAGTCCATTAGTGTTACTGACCATGGCACGGTTTATATTGATGCGATAAAACGTATTGCTAAGACTGATAGCCATTTTATATGTGTGAATATCGACATGTGGCCGCCGGCCAAGTGTGACTATGGCGTTTGTAGCTGGGGCAACGCTTCTCTTCTAACCGTGGTACGTGTTATTGAGTTAACTCTCTCCTCTTTTACACACGCACAGTACATTAATATATATGAAATCGAAATAAAAGTAGATTCAAAGATAGAATATATGTGAAATTCATTTGCTATTGGACTAATTAATTTCACTCCTTACTACACAGGACCTCAACAATCCAATCCTCATCAATGCCGTTAAAGGTTTGAGCTTTTTTTTTTTTATTTTTTTTTTGTATAAAAATAATCCAAGCTCATATAATTCATGATCCGGATTTTTTTTTTTTTTCGAGCAGCATTTTTGCGCGTAAGGTTAAGACTAGGAGGCACCCTGCAAGACAGATTGACCTACCAAACTTCAAGGACCTCTCCATGCTCCGTTTTCACCTATAACCCGTCTTATTTGTTTAACTACACCGATGGATGCTTGTCGTTGGATAGATGGGATCAAATAAATTCCTTCGTCAAACGAACAGGGTAATAAAAAATGTGTACTTATTTAAAAATGAAACTAAACAAACATGAAATACTTTCTTTTTTCTTTTTTCGGGTTATTATATTATTCAGGGCTATCCCGATTTTCGGACTCAATGCTCTTGCTGGAAAGATAGTACACCCACATCCCGAACCTCTTACTCCTTTGGACCCGACCACTGCCACCGGTCCATGGGACCCCACCAATTCCGAAGAGCTTATTCGTTACACTCACGAAGAGAAAGATTATTACATGTATGGCTGGGAGCTTGGTAAGAAATGGGTCTCAAACTCTGTTCTGTTAATATATGCATCATCACATAGACACTGGTAAAATAGACTTAAGATGTTTTACTTTTTTTAAAAAAAATAGGGAATGAATTGGGAGGAATACCAGTAGAAGGAGTGAGAGTGGAACCCGAACAATATGCAGCCGATGCGGCAAATCTTGAGAAGCTATTAAAACGTATTTACGTGACAAAGAGGGCAATCGATGCTCCAGCCGTCATTGCCCCCGGAGGGGTATTCGAATACGATTGGTTCAAGAAGTTCATAACCAATGAGAGTCGGCCATCTGGCATCATTACCCACCACACCTACCCTCTCGGCTCAGGTGACTGTACTATAACACAAGACACGAAAGTCGCACTAATAAATATTGCGTGATGAAAAACGAACACGATCTTATTTTTATTTGTTTATTTCATTCTATAGGGTACGACACGAACCTCAAGAACAAAATCCTGAATGCAAGTGTTCTTGACGAGGGTGCTGAAGTGTTCAGGCAAATGCGCGAACTTATCCAGCAATCCCCGACAGTGACGTTTGCTTGGATTGGAGAGTCGGGAGGCGTGTACAATAGCGGCCGTGATGGTATCACCAACACGTTCCTCTTCAGTTTCTGGTAAATGATATAAAGCTCGTGTCCCGTTTGTTTAACTTGGACACGATTGGGGCTCATTCTGAAACAAGTTTTTTTCGATATACTTATTGTGAACGAACGAAAATATATAGGTATTTGGACCACATGGCGACAGCAGCCGTTTACGACACGAAGGTGTACTGCAGGCAGACGCTGGTAGGCGGTAACTATGCCTTGCTCGACACAACTACCTTTATCCCGAATCCAGATTACTACAGGTTGAACCAATATTATTATTCTTGTATATATGTGCGTGTTTTTATACGAGAATTTAATTACATGCTGTTATAAAGTTCATTGAAATTTTTAGCTGAAGTTCTTTGTACTAACATGTATGTTTAATTACCTGCAGTAGATATTAATATAGGTAAATATTACGCGTTCATTTCATTATTCAACACACCACATATAGCAAGATTGATGTAGATATTTGATAGTGATTAATAAGTAGATGAAAAAATTGACCGGTTACATGAAAGTAGTCGTGAAAGGATCTCTCTTTCTTTCGCTCGTCTTTGTTCGGATAGTCACTTAATTAGTTGGTTGTATTTTGCACGCAGCGCACTACTTTGGCACCGTCTGATGGGAACACGCGTTCTGATGACAAGTTACAAAGGGACTAAGGACCTCCGTGCCTACGCCCATTGTGCAAAACAATCCGTAAGTACTGTTTGGCAAAATCGTATTTTTTCTCTAGTCCTTAATTATATCCTTTGTCAACCTGCATGTTTTGCAGGACGGGATTACTGTACTTCTGATAAACCTAAGTGGCGACACCATAGTCAAGACAAAGGTGGGCCTTCGCAAACTCATGGAGCCATTGCCTCCTAATCACGAACAAGCGTACAGAGAAGAATACCACCTGAGCCCAATGGATGGGAACTTGCAGAGCCGGACAGTTTTGCTAAACGGGAAGCCACTATTTGTCGGCCCAAGTGGCGCTATACCTACGCTGAAGCCCAAGCAAGTAGTCTACTCGGAGCCCATAACGGTTGATCCGCATACCATTGCATTCGTCCACATTCCCCATTTTCTTATCCCTGCATGTCAAAGCTTATATGTTGATCATGATGATATGTGAGGCTTATGATCAGTTGATTGCTCGGGAGTCGGGACAAGGAACGGCGCAAAACATTTGTGTATGATGTTGTTTGTGAAGCTCTTTGAGTTGTGTACTTGTGTTGATGTGATTTGCTGCTCTTTATATGCTCCTATAGAGTAAGGCAGTAGTTGTGGTGTTTGTATTATATATATCTGGAATAAATTGCCCGTTCATTATTATATGTTTTACCCGAAATTTCAACATTTAAGAAGCTCCAATTCAAGTGGTTCTATAGATAACAAGGTATGCTTGAGAATGATGGAGTTTGTGGAAGAACCAAATCCACGAAGTTTTGTAGAGAGTTTTTTTAGATAGCCGAGAAAGAATGAGGAACAAATTGGAAGAGATCAACCAGTTAGTATAGTTTTGATTTTTTTTTCATTTTTTTTTTTATCTAAATTGGTGTATTAGTATAAAACTACTCCATCTATCAATTCTCATCCATAATAAATTTCTCTATTTATTAGTTTTTATATATAGTTATGAAGATTGATGTTATCCATTCTACCACTCCCTATTTAAAATTATAACTTCATAAGTTGAATCTTCACTAATTTTTCAAATATATATTTCCCTTTGTAACTTCATCCATTCTTCTATTTTATAATACTAGTAAAGTGCACGTGCGATGCACGTGGTAATGAATGTTTTTGGCCGATAAGATAAATTAATTAAATAATTAAACATATGATTGCAAGAATAAAATAAAATATAGAACAAATAAACTCATAATATTTTTTTTTTCCAAAAATAACATAATGATGTCGTAATATAAAAAGATTTAAATGACATGTTACAAACTCAACAAAAATATATATAAAAAAATGAGTCAATAAAAAAACAAAAAACGAAATAACTAAATAAAGATCTAATGTATATTATAAATGCATGAGTATTTTTATCTATTTATAGTTTAGTAAAAAGTTTGATTTATTCAACACATAATTAGAAATGCTTTAGCCAACATATAGACAAACCAGGGAAGGACGCAGACTCGCAAGACTGAGGGGGCACAAACATAACCTTTACAAAGTGCAAAAAAAAAATGATATTTATTCTCTGCATGTTCTTATATATTATATCACTAATAATT